CAGTAATTCTTTATCCCTATTTCACCAGCAACAGCTTCACTTTTAACTATATACAAAAATAAATAAATAAAAAAGCCTTGATGAACAATACTGAACACTTTATTTTTTTCCAACAATAAAACCTGTTTTACAAACATTAAAATTTTTGGAAAATAACTTAAAAGTAAAAAAAAAAATTCTTGAAAACATAAAAGGTAAAATAAGAGTGCAAATAAAGCATATAAAAACAAATGTAATTTTAGAACATTAAGTGCAACTGTCTAGCTTACATTTGAAGTCATCTAACACATTTTATCAAAACTTGCTTTCTTGTAATATTACTTCTTGTAATCTCACCACATATGACGTTGTATTTGGGCCATTTTTCAGATTAAAAACGTAGCAAATCTCTACAAAAAAATTGCTTGTCACTAATTATCTTCTCCATCTGTATGCTCAATTTGTTCATAAAATGCACAAAGTGCTGAAATCACCCAACATTGGTTTCACAAATCAAATTAATAAATAAAATAAAATAAATTTGCTTCACAATGCACACATTTAGTTTTAAATATTCTTCAATCGGTGTAGAATAATTTAGTCCATATTTGAAGACTATGTACTTTAATTTTTAAATTAAAGCAGATTAAAGAGGTTCAGCGTTAAACATATGTAGAAGTTTTGATAAATTTAAGTTTTTACTTTTCTTGTAAATTTCTGACTTTACAATATTAGAAAATAGTTTAAAAATCAAAAGTTTTAGCCTTTAATCATGGAAATTTGAGATTTTTTTCCTTGCAAATTTACAACTTCCAATTTTTTTAAATGAAATTCATTGAAATAATCGCCTCACAAGTTTACGTCCTTTGGTGCGCAGAGATCTTCCTTGTTCTTGAAAATTTCGGAAATTAATCTGAAAATTTCAGAGTTTTTTTGGCAGAGATTTACTCCTTTTTTCATTTGCAAAACGACCCTAATACACTGTTGTACACTACATCCTTTCATATATGCAATGGCATAGTGAGATCCTACATTGTGAGGTAAGTTACAATATTTTTCCAAGTAAAACTACATTTAAAATTAAGAATTCTTCATTGACAATATGTAAGAACAACATACACCTTTTTTCATGAACATGAATAGAATACTTCAGACTACACTACAACTGATATTCCAAACTCCACAATTTTAGTTTATTTATGTTTTTTGCTAAGCCTTATTGTGCTGTGTTGAATCAAACTCTCAATGTCATAGCATTACAGTTTGTGTAACATGCCATAACATGGCATAAAAAAGTGCAACTACTGTGGTTTTCTCATTTGCTCAACAATTTGTTTTTTAGAGTTTGGAGTTTTGGTGGAAGTCTTGTGTTTCCAAGACCCAGCATCACCATTTGAATAAATTTCAAAGAGTTTTCCATGGGCTTTGGATACTGAAGGTGCAACGCGTATATGAGTCCAAATAGCAGGCAAACTGCTCGAGGGAAATCTTTGATGTTATCTATAACAATACTTCCCTCCACGACAACAGCAGTTGATGTAGGCTGGAGCTCCATGGTGCTTGATCCATCCTCAAGGAGAATAGTGAGCACTCCAACTGTCAAGTTGGCCAAGACTACTTCTTTTGTGGTTTCCTACAACAAAACACATTTTCAAAGATTATAAAAACCTGACTTGTAAAACTTACTGAAACCTAACTACAAGACACTGTTTGATTATTTGTTAAAATTTGCTTT